ATCGAGGGCGGTTCCTTTTCAAAATGTGGCTCTCGCCTGAGCGCCACGCACATTCGTTTTTAGCAGGTGCACGAGCTTCACGGATTGAGGGTGGTTCCTTTTCAGAATGTGGTTCTCGTTTTAGCGCCGCGCGCACTCGTTTGAAACATGTGCAAAAGCTTCGCGGATTGAGGGCGGTTCTTTTTCAACATGTAGCTCTCGTCTTAGCGCCGCGTACATTTGTTTTAACAATTCGCAAGAGCTTCACGGATTGAGGGCGGTTCGTTTTCAACATGCGGCTTTCGCCTAAGCGCCGCGCGCATTCGTTCCTTCAACTTGGAAGATTTTCACGGATTTCCATGATCAGCGTACCAGAAATTGTGTGTTGGAAGGATTCAGGATCATGTGGGTGCAACAGTTATGTTGATTCGCGGTGTTGAGGTCGCAGAAATGGCGTTTTGGCACGATTCCGGATCGGCAAAACGCAGCAGTCAGGTTGATCCGTGGCGTTGAACTCCCGACAACAATGTTTTGGCACGTTTCAGGATCTTCAAACTGTTGGCTTTCAACGATGCAGTTTTTTAAATGGAGATGAACCGTTGTAGGGGCTTATGAAGAGGGAGTTTGGAGGGAGGGTTAATTCCAACATCGTGGAAGGGTGCTTGTCGGTGGTGCGGCATGGGGCCAGCTGGCTGACGAAACACCTCGCGCCCCGCCTTGCATTGGCCCGCTCTTGCAGGACCGGGGTGGATTTGGAGCGCCGCCGGGGTGCTTGCTTGGGATCTCGAGAGGTTCACCGGGCGCCCCGCTGCGAGAATCAGGGGTTCGCTGTTTTGAAGAAATCTGGGGAACAGTGTCTTGTCCTGGACTGCCGTCAATGCAATTTGCGTTTCGCCCCCCTTCCCCTCGTTGCCTGCGCTGAGCTAGATGGTTGGAGTTGTTTGAGTGACCTGGGGCTCCCATTGGGACAGGCTCTGCATTGGGCTGGAGGTGATCTCAGGGCCGGTTTTTATGAGCGTGGAATTTCCCTGATGATCTAGTGGATTTTTGTGTTTTCGAGATGGGTTTGGCCGTGGGAAGTTTGATCGAGGCCGGCGTTCCCTGGGGGCCCTTAATGGGTTTCGGGGACGACGATATGGTTTCGGTGTGCCTGGTCGTTCTGCCGATGGTCGTCCTGGTTGGTTCTGCAGCATCATATGCAGGCGGCTAGAACAGGAGGTTCCAGACGAGTGGATTTTGGTGGACGGTCATCCTGTTCCCAGGCTCGAGCAAGGCGAGCGCTTGTACATGGCGTACTTCGATCGTTGGAACGATGGTTATTTTTTCGCGCGAGCCAGCTGGATGCCTTCGGAATGATGCATGAGACCTGGTTAGTGGCGGGTTTGCGATCCGCAGGATTTTTGGGCCTCCTCTCGTCGCCTGCGCGCTGGGCTCGGCGCTTGACGGCAACGCTGGGAGCTTGTCCCTGGGCCCCGACGAGCTCCTGGAAACTGATCGTGGTTTGAGACTGGCCAAGCTCGGGACTTGTTGCGAGCAGAAAGATCACGGAGAGGCTCATGGGACATCGCAGTGCTGATCAGACAAACGCTTCCTGTCTGGCGGTGCCTGCGCGACTTCGCATCGCAGAGCTTTGCTCCCGAGCGTCTCTGGCCGAGCTGATGCGCAGAGTGTCGTATCATTGCGGGTCTGCTACTTCTGGCCGTTGCCGATCGTCGCCGTGAGTGGAATCCCGCCGTCGTGAGCGGATGCGTAACCTACGGTGCGCGGGGCTTTCCAGCGGGGTTTGGGTGTCGGGCGCGTTCGGAGGAAGGTGGAGGTTCGAGCGTCTGGCCCTAATGTATGGGCTCGTTGGTCTCGCTCTTCAGGTCTGGGCCCCCCGAAAGCCCTCGCTACTGCTGGGCGCGTCAGGGCTCCTGGGTCTGCCCATGCGGGCCCGTGGGGCGATGGTGGTGTTTCGCGTGCGGGGGGGGGGCCCGATTTCCCCGAGATCCCCGCTCGCCCTATGCGGTTATGCGCAGTTCTTGGCGCTTCCTGGCTGAGCGCGTCGCCGTGAAAAAGGGGGGGCTGCCATCTTGGCGTTGGGGGCGATTGTCTGGGGCGCATCGGAATTGTGAGAAACGACGCTTTCTGTTCGTAGATAGCGTGGGCCCTCTGCGTTGCTTCGTTGGAGCGTCGCGCGTGCTCGTGCGATTTGCTCGGGGTCTGCCGGCAGACCTGGGCTCGCCGCGAGAAGTGGAAGGGCGCCAGCGCTAGGTCCGATCGCTAGCTCGAGGAGCAGGGGGACGAAGCTGCTCGTGGCTCCCATGGCCTCGCCGGGGCTGGCGCAAGCAGCGGCGTCGCCGGCGCTTGTCGGGCGTCAGAGCCTGCGGGCCTCGAGCGCCGGAGATGGAGCGGTCGTGCCTCGACCCGCAGCCGCGGCGGAGAATCGCTGCCCAGCGCGGACTGCGACGACGCCGCTCGGCGCCAGGCTGGCCGCGCCGGCGCGCGCTCGCCAGGCCGCGGGGCGGCGTCGCACAGGTGGCGGGCCGAGGAGGCGCTCGAGCTGAAGGAGAACCTTCTAGCCTGGAGGGGGAAGATGTCTTGGCTCGAGAAGCGGCGCGCGAGGAGGCCCAGGCGAAAAATGACCCCCCTCAAATGTAATTCGAACAGAAACGCAGCCGAAATCCAGCTGGTCCCACCTGGGCCCTCGCACATCTTTGCGCGTGTTTTGTTTTGTTTTGTTTTGTTTTCCTCCCTTGCGGCCGGCTTTTTGGGGCGCGCTGTTTGCGTGGCTATGGCGCGGCAGTCTCGCGCGCTTGCGTCAGGCTGGCGCAGCCGGCGATGACGTCGTAGCGAACGGCGCCGAGTCGTTGCGATTGCGTCCACCTCGGGACTGTTCGCGCGCGTTTCGTCATTTGCATGCGTCGAACTTTCACCAGCGCGCTTCGCGCGCGCCAGCCCCTCTCGCCAACGTTGCCATTTCACGTGATGCAGAATATGCGGTCCAATGGCGTTGTATCGCAGTGTTGCTGAGTTCCACAGCAAGCCAACAACGTCCGTTCAAGCGTGCTATCATTTAATTCCACCATCACTATCGTGTTCGTTGTCGCCAACAGTTTCCCTCTTCTTCTTCATCATGTCACTGGTATGTCCTCCCAGGTCTGCTCAGGCCCCATCCCTTATCCCCTCCCCCCTGCCCTTGCCCTCCTTGCTATTTCCTCTCTCCATCCTCATCGGTGGCCCCTCTTCCTTTCCTCCCCCCTCCTCCGTTGTCTGCCCTCTCGCCTCCCACATCCGTCCTTCTTCCGCTTCTCTCCTCCTTTTTCCTTTTTTTCGTCGCCTTCCTGCCTCCCTTCGCGCCCTCCTTCTCGCCCCCCCCGCCCTTTCCTCCGGGCGGCCCCCCCCCCGCCCCCTTCTGCAGCCGCGCTCCTCCATCGTGCCCGCCCGTCGTCCATCGCGCCCCTCCTTCCTGCGAGGTCCCGCGAGGCCATGTCGAGGCCTTCGGGGAGGGCCCGTGCTTGGATTCGGCTGGGCGGCGGCTGGGGGGCTGGGCCGCGGTGGGGATTTGGCTGGGATTTTGGTGGTGGCTGTTGGGCGGCGGCTGGGCGGTGGCCGGGATTTGGCTGGGATGTTGCTTGCTGGGCGGCGGCCAGGGTTTGGCTGGGGTCGTTGCCGGGCGGAGGGCCCGCGGGCCGCGGAAACGCGTCTGCAGCGAAGCATTGGCACCTTCCGCTTGCTAATGCTCGCGCCCCGCGCCCTCGCATCGCAGCGGGCTACGTGCTGAGCGTGCTTCGAATTGGAATACCATATTTTTGACTCGCGCTTCGGCTTCACAGCCATGCTGCGCTGTGTAGCGTCGTCGTCGTTTCGACTTAGTTCCTCTGCTTCGCAGCCGTTTTTGTTGTCATATACATGTACATATACATGCAATCGTGCTGCGCTGCGTGGCGGTGTCCTTGTCTCGATTCGCGGGCCTGTATTTTTCCGCTGGCGTGTGCGTGTCTGTGGTTATTCCATTGCAGTGACGACGCCCTTTTTTGTCGCGCCCAGGGGGGCGCGTTGCCTCCCCGCCGTTCGATGTGTTTTTTTTGAATGGCTGGGCAACGTCATTGGCCGCTCGGTTTTCACTCGCCGCGGTTGCCCAGTTGCATGGCGCAGCGTGGCGCTGCAGCTTCCATTCCCTTAGCCGCGCCACGGCAGGCGGCGAAGCGCCGCGCGCTGGCCTCGCTGCCCAGTTCGCTCGCGGCGCAGCTTTCAGCGCCGCGCGGCAAGCTCCGCCCTGCGAGCGCGAATTCTTGAGGCGCGCGCTGTCCGAGACCGCGCGGCTCTTCTCCCCTGCCATCCCCCCGTTTCCTCGCACTCCAACCGCCCCCCCCTCTATCCCCGCTCCTTGTCCTTCCCTCCAGCTGCCTCGCCGCTGCGCCGCCGCTGCGCCGCTGCCCTTCTCCGCGAGGCTGCGGTCTTCGGGCTCCTCTCTCGCTTCGGGAGGGCTGCCCCGCGGCGGGGCTGCGGCTGTGCGAGCGCCGCGCCACTCCCGGCTTTTTTTTTTGGGGGGGCGCCTTCGACGCGCGCTCGCCCGGGCTTCCTCGGCGGCGCAGCTCGGCGAGGGTGGGCGTCGATGGCGGCTGCGACGGGAAGGGGTTCGAGGACTTCTGCGCGGGGGGCGGGGGGCCGTCGGGCATCGGCGACGACCGAAATCGCGCTGGTCGATGATCTCGACGCGAAGTCCGTGGGCGAGCGCGGCCCCTCGCTGGCGGATAAGACAATCGCCGCCGTGCAGCGCGCGGATGCTCGCGCGCAGTGCGACCAGGTGTGGCCCGTGACGTGGGCCGCGGGGCTTCGGGCGGGCGGGGGGTCCGCGCCGCCGACCGGCCCGCCGCCGCTGCCTTGGGCCATCGTGGTGGCGTTGTCCATGCAGATGGCGCGGCAGGGGATGTCGGACATGGTCGCGTGCCTCGCGGCGTATTTTTCGTGCCACCTGAGGCCCGCGAAGGGGATCGGCAGAAGCGCGGAGGACGTGATCCCCGCAATCGCGGGGGCAGGTCGCAGCTCCCGGCGCCGCGCCGTGAGCGTCGGGGGGTCGGGCGAGAAGGTGCCCGACGAATTGCGGGCGGTCGACGACGGCTCATGCGCGGCCGGGGCTTCCTGCCCAGCATCGGGACTGCGCTGTGCCGGCGCTCTCGAGGCGAGCCGAGGGATGGGTTGCCTTTCGACTTCCAGCTGAAGGTCGTTGCTGGCCTCGTCAACCAGGCGACCGCCAACCTCTGGCTGCGGGAGCGTCCTTCGATGCGCCGGCGTCGTCGCTTCGGTGCCGCCCCCGACCGCGTCGGACGTCGTCGGGGCAGAGCAGCTGTCATGGCTCGCAGGGGGTGGCAGACGGGTCGTCCGTTCGGCGTTGCGCCAGCGTAGGGGATGTTCAGAACATGCTCCCGATGCTGATGCCCGAAGCTATCGGCTATGCAAAGAAGTGCGTGCCCGTGCTCGACGACGTGCTGATTGGGTAGCGGGCAACTCTCGCCGCGTCCCAGTGTCCAAGGAGGTGAGGGCTAGTGCTCAGTGTCCCAGCCTGCCGCCGCGCAGTTTAGTATTGCGGGGCCGAGTATTCCGCCGAGGAGTGCTTGGGGCTTTCCTGGGCTCTGAGCGGTTATCGTCGGCTTTGAAGCGTGCAGGTGTGCGAGCTGGGGCGCTGGATGTCCGGATGGGCCTCGATTTCGCCCAGTAGTCGAAACCGCGTCGCAGACTTGCCCTTGTGAGTAGCAGGAGGGTCGGCTTCCTTTGGTTCGGGCCCCCGTGCAACTCGTGGGATAGGGCTAGACGTTTGGGCGGCTCCGGACCTGGGCATTCTCGGGGCGAGAAGCAATACATCGTGGGCCTGCCTGGTCTCAGTGACAAGTGCGTCGAAAAAGTTTGGGTTGGTGACCGTCTGATGCAGTTCGTGGTTCGTGCGTGTCGGGTTGATTCCCTGGCGTGTATTCCTTCGGCAGTGGAAAACCCGAGTGGCGCATGAGGATTTCTGTCAGTTCGGGGAGGAATGGAAGAAAGGTGCGTCGTTACTGCGGGTCTACTGCGGGTCTACTGCGTTATATGCGTGATAGGTTGTTTTCTCGTACAGACTACCACAGACTACCACCATACCGTCCGCGATGGAAGGGGTTGCTTTTGAAAGTGGAATGAGTTGTGTGCCCAGCCTATCCCGTGTTTGCGCAGCAAGCTTTAAACTATCATATTTAACGGGGATGCTGTGGGATCACGGTGATGTCGGCGATGGTGGTGCTGATGGTGGTGATGATGATGGCGACCGTGATGATGACGATAATTTTGGCGATGTTGAACATGAGCGGGAATACGACCATGATGCTGATTCGGATGATGCTGCTGATCACGGCTGTGATGATAATGCCGCTGTTGCCGATGATGATGAAGATGATGATGATGATGATGATGATGATGATGATGATGATGATGATGAAGATGATGATGATGATGATGATGATGATGATGATGATGATGATGATGATGATGATGATGAGGATGAGGATGAGGATGAGGATGAGATGAGGATGAGGATGAGGATGAGGATGAGGATGAGGATGAGGATGAGGATGAGGATGAGGATGAGGATGAGGATGAGGATGAGGATGAGGATGAGGATGAGGATGAGGATGATGATGTTTATGACGTCAGCGACGACGACGACAATGTCAATATCGACCGTGGTGATGACGATGCTTGTGATGATGATGATGCTGGTGGTGATGGCGACGAAGTACAATACCTGCTCACTCCTCCCCTCCCGTTTCTTCGCCTCCTCCGCTGTTTCTGCCTCCTCCTCCTCCTCTTCCGCTCCCTCCCTGTTCACCCTTTGCCCCCAGCCTGAGATGAGCCGAAGAAGGCCGATTCAGTCGCGCTCCCGCACCCCGCGTCGCGTGCCCGCCCTCGTGGCTGCCACTGCTCGGACCTGAAGGCCCCTGCGGTGGCCTCCGCGGCCGGTCGGTCGCCCCTGCGTAGCGCGCTCGGCGGACCGGGTCGGACGAGAGGGGAGCACAGTCTCCCTCGCGTCGTGCACAAATCAAAGTAGCAGGCTTTTTTTGCTGTTGTGTGTGCTTTTTTGTTATTGTTTTTACTATTTTCGGCTTCTCGGGGGCCCTCACAAGGCCCAGGGACCGCCCAAGGACTCCGCAGGATGCTGGACAAGGCAGCTGTGGGGACATGGTCCGGGTTTTCCTCGGGGTCGACGTTGCGAACGAATCGTGGCGTCGGGGGTCCCGGGTGTGTGTGTCTGTGTGTGTGTGGAGGGGGTCGAACGTTTTCAAAGTCCCAAGTCTTCGGGCGCTTTCGTCGTTCCATCGGCGGTTTTCCGACGCTGGGGTGCTGTACGGTGCTCTCCAGCAGCTGCGCCTCGCCGAGAGCATTCCTGGCGTGCCTGGCTCGTCCCGAGCGGACGCCGGAGACCCGAATCAGGACCCGAGGACCAGACAACGATTAAGTCGGGCCTGTCCCTTTACAGGAGGAGTATTTAAAGATAGTTGAAAAGAAAAGTCTGGGGACCATTTTTTGAGTATTTTTGGGCATTTTTGATTTATCGTCGAAAATTTCCCTGGAAGGGACAGGCCCGACCTAAGACAACGAGGGTCACGCGGCGGGTTTGGGAAAGGGGAGGTGCCGAGGTCTGCTGCGTGCAGCTGGCTTCGGCTCCGTCGCCGAGCGTCTCAGGCGCCAGGAGGCGCTGGAATCAGAGGCGACGGTAGGGGCGAATAGCCCCGGGGAAAGCAATACATGTATTCAGTTGCGCCGACGATCTATGTCTTCGAGAAGGCTTCCAGGCGAATACGTGTAATGCTCGCCCTGGGCTATTCGCCTCTGTCCTCGCCCCCGATGGAAAAGATGGGTCGCCCGCAGGGGCGATGGGTTGATCGCGCTTCGCGCGTCGCGGTCTAAGCCAGAGTGGCTGCGCTTTTCCAGGTGACGGTGCAGGGCCGCGAGGGCGCGACGATAATCGCGCGATCGCCAGTCGAAAGGCGCGATGCGCGAAGTTGGGCGGCCCAGGACAGGTAGCTGCGCGAGCTGATTCGCGACGCCTTCGTTTGGTCCCCCCCTTCGTCCGACCCGAACACGAGGGACGAGGCGACGCCCGCGCAGCCTGTGTAAACCAACAGCAGTCCTCTAAGTTGTTCGCAGGTTGCCCTCAGGATTTTTTCGGAGGTGTTTTGAGGTTTGCCAAAAAAAGTTTGGAGGTTCAGCAGAGCTTTTCTGAGGTTGTCGGAGGTGGTTAAACTTCCAAGTTTTCGTTGGCCTGCCCAGGTTTGTGGACGGTTGCAAGCAGTAGTATGACAGCAGCAGTAGCAGTGGCAATAACAGTAGCAGTAGAGCAGCGGTAGCAGTAGCAGTAGCAATACCAGTAGCAGTACCAGTAGCAGTAGTGGCAGCAGTAGCAGCAATAGCAGTAGTAGTGGCAGTAGCAGCTTCAGCAGCAGCAGTAGTAGTAGTAGTAGTAGTAGTAGTAGTAGTAGTAGTAGTAGTAGTAGTAGTAGTAGTAATAGTAGTAGTAGTAGTAGTAGTAGTAGCAGTCGTAGTAGTAGTAGTAGTAGTAGTAGTAGTAGTAGTAGTAGTAGTAGTAGTAGTAGTAGTAGTAGTAGTAGTAGTAGTAGTAGTAGTAGTAGTAGTAGTAGTAGTAGTAGTAGTAGTAGTAGTAGTAGTAGTAGTAGTAGTAGTAGTAGTTAGCAGTCGCAG